CTAGAGCCCAAGGTGAAGCCGCGGCGCAAGAGACAGTGAATGAGAAGATGATCGTGTTGAATGAGTTCAGGGGCCGAGCAACTGGACTTACGTCGGCACGACCTCAACCGACCGACAGTGTAAAGGAGACGGGGTTGGCCAGTCGGGCAAAATGTAGAGACATGATCAAGCTGGTAAATAAACAGACAGGACCCGTCGAATGTTATGACCCTTTAACAGTGTCAGAAGTGACAATGATGGCTGAGACGCCGCCTCAGATATCGTCGTTGGAAAGGGCTCGCCGAAAAGGAACGTGGAAACACAAGAAGAGATCGAGCGAGCACCGCAAGAAAGGGCGCAAGCACCGCTCGGAATGCACCGGATAGGTGCCGAGGTCGAATCTGAATGTGTTTGGCAGTGCTGAGTGCCATATGTTGTGTTAATGTCCTTGTTGTCCTGTGTCGCAACTGTATGTTGAGTGAGTCAAAATGTTTGTTTCGGTAATGTGATGTATAGTAATGATGTGAGTATAGTAATTGTTGTAATGAGAGAACTTTATACATTTGTATTGTTTGGAATGTGTGATGAAGTGTTGTAGTCATGTACCTGTGGCTATATTTCATGTGTCGTGGAATTGAATTACAATGTACAGTTGTATTGAGGATCTATTGTGAATGTGAAGTGTCATGAGCGACGGTTTGTGTTACAGTCTTTCAGAGTGTGTGTTGACTGTTCGCGCTCGTTTGTGTGGTTTGGAATATTATGAGATAATATTCTTAAAGTGGGGGGCAGTGTCACAGAACGAGCGGTAAAAATGGGCGCGCCGCCAAATTCTTGCGATAACGCGCGAAAGAGACGCCGCGAGGTCAAAAGAAAAAAAAGAAAACAAACATCCAAGGCTCCCCGGAGCGCGCGCTCTCCTCTCGGAAGCGTGGCTTCGCCGACGAACCTCCTCACCCCACAAGGGCGGTCGAGCAAGCGCTGGAAAGTTCCAGAAGGAAATAGGCGTGGTCATACCGAGCTGAGTCATCTGCCGCGGAGGGCGTTCCAACCGTCTCGCCCTCTTCCCAGCCTTCGCTGCGTATTGCGCCGACGAAATGATGAGAACTTTCTGGAATGTCGCGCGGAAGGTATTTAACCGAGCAGCGGAGATGAGAGATCAGGAGAAGACGGAAGTAGCGCCAGAGTGCGTAGGGATCCCGCCGTGTAGTCGGCGAAGGTTTTGTCCGTAGGGACGAAGCAGGAAATGAAGAGGATTTCCACCTGAGGGGTGAAGGCTTGAGCTACAGGCAAGAGAGTGTGTTTACCGCTATCGAGCGAAGACGCGTGGCGACAGCTGCGTGTGTGAAGCCGACGTGTTCGGGCGAAGAAGTTTGAAGCTTGGAGAGTGGCCAATTGAAGACGCGAGGTTTCCTGGAAGAGAAACTTCGAGGGCGCGGAACGACAACAACCCTGGACTTTGAGTGAGTGATTCTCGGAAGAGTATCATCCAGACTTTTGTTCCAAGAACTTTGGACTGGATAGGTTTTCTATCTCTTTAGTCTTTAAGTGTCTTGGTGGTTCAATGCATGCGACTGCATTGTAGTGCGTATCGTTGTCTGTGTCCGTTGTTTTGAGTGTGGCTGATTGTACTGTGTAGTACGTTGTTTGATTGGTGACATATTGTATGCAACTATTGTGGAGTGTGCATTCTTGTGTATTGTTTTCGATCTGCCAATTTTTGAGAATATATTATTTGTTTTGTTTATCAACTCTCGGCTCTGACTTGTTCTTTGGGCCACAGCCGGCGTCCGCTGGCGCGCCAAAAAGGACCACTTCTAAATTGTCCACGCTTTCGTGGTGCGGTTCGGGGGGCCAATACTTCGGCCCTTGGAATTAGCCCGGCGATCGCCTCCCTAATTAACGGGACATGTGTGACAGCCGGGCACACTACCTGTGGCTGCTGTCGAAAGCTTGTTCTCACCACCGCCGCTATGGGGTGCTGGGCAAACAGAGTATCGGTCGTCTTGGCGACCGCGGCTGCCATTCTGTCCCAGTGCGCATTGGTGGCGAGCCGCTGTAGCGTTCATCCTGTTCAGTGTTCATCTTCGCTTTGTGAGATATTTGCTGACTAGTCTGTAGCATCCCTCACGATGGCCTAATGTGTGCCGTTATGTAAATCGAATGAGAAAAAAAAAACAGCCGGGATTTATTTTTACGAAATACCCGCTGACGCGGACGCACGATCATGATGACTTGCTGCAATACGACGTAACATGTGGTAGCTGATTACCACCTCATGCTATACCAAAGAATGCAGTAGGCATTTCAAAAATGAATACTTCATAGAAAGCAAGTGTCAACGCCACAAGATAGAGGCTGTGCTGTCAGTTTTTGAAGAGTACCCATCGCAACTTCAATTAAACTGAACGCCGGCATGAGATACAGCGACCAACGTCAAAAAAGTAAGTGCTACAGCGGTGTGAAATCACTCTGCGAGAAGCACTCGACACTTCGAAGACACCATGGGATGCCAGGCTGGAGTGGCTTGAAGTAACACTGCCCATGTACTTGAGCTCACGGGGATACACCAAATCAGGGAGTACTTGGTGGTATGGGATGAACATCATTTGAGGGCAGGAAAGCTAGTAGCAAGATAAAATTTGAGAAATTATTGAAAGAAATGGGGGAGGAGCTTTGGGCCAGGAAGGTTTTCAGCTATATATACATGACGAATGCCGATACAAAATGGAGAAAGCGAACCAGAAAAGTCACGGTAAATATTTGGAAAACAGCAGGGGGCTAAACCAAAAAGAACCATCAGTTAAGAAGAAAGTGAATGAAACGGAGACTGACTTCTGGAAAATAGGCATGATTAAGAGTTTGCCCCGACAAGGTGGTCTAGTGGCTATGGTACTCGGCTGCGGCGGCTGCATTTCCGATAGAGGCGGAAATGTTGTGGGCCCGTGTGCTCAGATTTGGGTGCACGTTAAAGAACCCCAGGTGGTCAAAATTTCCGAAGCCCTCGACTACGGCGTCTCTCATAATCATATGGTGGTTTTGGGACGTTAAACCCCACATATCAATCAATCAAGGCATGATTAAAAAGTCTGCACTAGAGATCTATCGAACTTTCAAGCAGGAAATAGCCAAGGAAAGGATCTATGATAATTCTCGGGGTAGTTTTCTGCTGTTTGAGGAACCAAGACTTATCGGGCCAAATATACAGTGCGTGTGGAGAGGAGGAAGAAACTGCTGAACACTTGATAATGCTCTGTGAAGAGCTTCACCCTATAGTTTAGGATGATGGCGCAGAGTTTTTCAAGGCACTGGAGTTTATGGGTATGGAGGTCAAAATAGACTTTAAGCAGGTAGAAATAACTAGGAAGAGGTTATCCGATTGGTGGCAACAATCAAGGCACGAGTGAAAATGAAATCCTTCACTGCAAAGTGCCACGCTATCATTTAAAAGGGCAAAAAAATATAAATTTAGTTTTTGTTCACCAAGTATTATGGCTAGGTGGCGTTAGCCACCGCCTGATATAAAGTGTACAGCCATATCAATCAATCCATCTATCCATCCATCCTCCGCCGCTTAGTGCTGCGCGCACAACGCCAGGGAAAAAGTTCGGGTGCGCCTCTTCACTCATTGCGCGCTGAAAAACAAGTGGCATAGTCGTAGAAGACGCACAAATTATTTATGGCGTATCTCATACCTGATAATGCTGGGCTTGAACATATATATACCTCTGAAGAGTGCACTTTGCTGGCAGTGTTACAAGCCCCGAAGTGCACGCATGATCGTAGCCTCTTTGAGACAGAAAGCGCCACATGACACATTGGGAACGCTGGATGCTCTCTTTCGTCACATTTCATATGATGTAAAAAAAACACGGCCTTTTTCTCTCCTTTCTGTGCATTTATCGCAATTTTCTTGACACATGCGAGGTGCTTGATTTCGCGATAATATTGGATGCCTTTTTTTCTCTTCTTTCAGCAATTGCTGCACCTTCTTGCATTTAGAACGATGATGTGGCACTTGGTAGCGCAATCGTCCTATCATAGTCTGGTATCTACCCGCCCGAGGAGCGTGGCTGTTTATTATTTGCGTACAAACACTTACTGCTACTTGTTCAATGAAAGCATTATGTGAAGTTGCAACATCCAGATCTATTTCGTTTGTCTCCGCTTCTTGCTTCCTTCAGATTTGACGTAGGTGCAAAGATCGGGAAGCAAGATATTTGCGAGGCTTCTATGCACTTGAAATTAAGTAGGAAGAATAGTTGTCGAAAAGAAAAGCCACGGAGTCAGGAATATGTTTTCTGATGCGGAACGCAGGCACATAGTCTTCATCGCGCAAGTTTCTGCTGTATACAACTGTCCATACAGACTTGTTGATGAGGTTGTCTCTCGAAATATTCTTTTGTCATTTGGCACACAGCTCAGTATTGTTTGGGAATTGGAGAGGACCCAGTCAAAAAAGTTCAAGTGATCCAATTGAAAAAAAAAAAACAATTGACGTCGATTGGTTTTCAACCTATTGAAATTTCCCCACCTGTCGTAAATGTCCCAATTATGTCTAATTGGTGAACCAGTTCCAGACAGTTCTAGTAGCTAATTGGTTGACCAATTGATGTAGGACGGGGACCAGTCGGTCATCCAATTGAAGCTAACTGGCGCCCAAATGGCTAACCAGTTAAAGTGAACTGGTGTGCAAGTGATAATCCTGTTAATCTTAAATGGTCCCGCAATTGAAACTAGGTGGTGTTCAATTGGTTAACCAATTCGAATAGATGTAGTCATCTAATTGAAGCTAGCTGGCGTCTAAATGGTTTGCCAGTTGAAGAGAACTGGTGTCCAACTAGAAGGTCTGTTGAAGGTACGTCGTGTTCCAATTGGTTAAGCAATCGAATAGATGTTGTCATTCAATTAAAAGTAACAGGTACTCAACTGGTGAGCCAGTTTAAATAGACTGGTTCCCAATTGGTTAACCCGCTGAGCACAAAAAAAATTTAAATTGTCATCCAATTAATGCAAACTGGTGCTCAACATGAAGAGCCTTTATTAGACAACAATAGTTCGGCGAAAATGACTCGTACAGAGCGAGCTTCGTAGTACAACTCCCGATTTCTGTTAGTAAGGGTACTTGTAGTAAAACTGCCGCTTGTTCTGCTGTAGCTTCTGGAAAGGACGTTGCTGATATATTCTTGTTGCTCAAGAGTTCTTTCTTCCGTGTTGCATCAGCAATCATGCAGGCAGGCTGCATGAAAGAAAAATATAAAACAGAGAGAAAAATTAGCTACATGGCTACAGTGAAGAGGTTAATACACTAGTCTAAAACGCTGTAACTGCACGCTCTGGCACTTTCCAGATCAGGGAGTTCGAGATAGTCCACACGTGAGCATTCATCCTAAGCAGTCATGCATGCCAACATTGACAGCGCAATTCTGAACGCGTCATTAGAGTGTTCCAGACGAGTGTACTTACCTCTGCTGGAAGGACGGAAATGTTATTGATGTAACAAGACTTACTGTGTAGAGTAGCTCTCACACACTGCATGCTGGCTGTGCCCGTGCACCATGTCCGCCGCAGTCGCGAGCCAACACTAGTTAGGATAATGAACAAAATGTGCGAAAGGTGCTAATAATAAAGCGGTTAAGGTGGTTCAAAAGCAAAATACTTGCCTTGGTTGTAAAGAAATAGGGCTGAATAAATGGATCATGCCAACACGAATACTGCAAAGACGCTGGATATAAAACACGCCGGTAAAGCTTGTGACTTGTGTCCGCTGCGGTGGTGCGCGGCATGGAGGAAGGAAAATATAGGAGAGGCCATGATATCTTTTCCGTGAAGCCGCCGCATCGCAAACACCCGCGCCACTTCCTAGCAGAAAAGCATATAAACGCAACGCGATTTCCGGCGAGCAGCCGCTGCAGCGGCCTTCGATGCGGCGGGGCCGGTGGGGGGGGTTCTTTGCCGGCAGATAGTCAATGCACGAGTGCTGCTTCTTTCGCGCGTTTTAAGAAAGCTGTGCGATGCCCAGCTGTAGTGCATACTCGATGCGAATTGCGTGCAGCACCGGATGTACCTGGTGGCACTTTTCACGTATGTTCGCTTCACCGTTGATCAATAATGCATGATATTTGGATGCGAAGCTATCGACAGTACGCTACACTGGTTCTTACTCATTGCGTCAACTAAGAACACGCACAAACTTTCGTTTTTATTGTTGTAGGCATCGTGTCGCGTTTTGAGAAGTTGGGTTGTTCATACGGAAGGACAATAAACTTTTCTTGTTATCGGACTAAATGTGTGTGTGATGTACGGTGTGCGCACGCTGCGTGTTAGTTGTGTGCGCGCGCACTGGAATTACACACTTTACGTGCACGATCGCATACACATTACCGTGGTGCCTTCTTATCAGCATGAAGTACGTCAAGTACTAGGCTGGCGTTGCACGGAATAGCTACGAAGCAAACTGTCAAAATCGTGCATTGTCACACTGACACTATATACGAGCAAAGAACTGATAATCGGCCCGAAGATCGGGAAATCTGGCTAAGAGGGAAAAAAAAAAGAGTTACGGCGAGTAGAACGCATAAGTTACTGCCGGATGAGTTCGAATACGATGATGCAAGGGCTGAATGATTTAGATTACGACACGTACCGGTGCTTTCTGTGCTGTTGCACAAGAACACTCCACGAAGTATTTCAGCACGCCGCGCTCGGGCCTGCCTCGCACGAACAGTTTTGTAAAGGTGTGCTCGCAAATTTTTACTGCATGGAAATGATACAACACGCGTTAAGTTAACGCCAGGACTATATAAGCGAAACGGCGTTGAGAGCACGCCGCGGAGCATCTGCTGTTTTGTTTGCCCTATACCGGTTTGTTTGCCCCATAAGTTTGACGTCACTTCCGCCATACTTCTCGCAATGCATTGCGATAGGATAGAGCCTCTCGCCCCGCCGCGGTGGTCTAGTGGCTAAGGTACTCGGCTGCTGAACCGCAGGTCGCGGGTTCAAATTCTGGCTGCTGCGGCTGCATTTCGGATGGAGGCGGAAATGTTGTAGGCCCGTGTGCTCAGATTTGGGTGCACGTTAAAGAACCACAGGTGGGGTGCACGTTAAAGAACCGCAGGTGGTCGAAATATCTGGAGCCCTCCACTACGACGTCTCTCATAATCATATGCTGATTTTGGGACGTTAAACCCCACATATAAAATCAAATCAGGATAGGGCCTCTCCTCAGCTTTTCCTTCCTCCATGGCTGTGTTCCAATACTCACCGCAGAGGGCTAAATAGACAGCTAAACGGGTGCGACTGTTCTCACAACAAATCCGTGCAGGGCGGGGCCTCGCCGCGATGACGTAGCCACCATTTCTTTTTCTTTTCTCTCTCTCCCTCTCTGTTTGGCAGCGCGTTCGCTCAACACCACCTAGACTTGGTTCGCTGTGTGCTGTTCTGTGGCTGTATGCTGTGCGCGGCGTCTCCCTGTTCTGTGGCGGCGTGCGCTGTCTTGTCATATTAAGCTGTTGAGAGGTCCTTGGCTGTTGTCAACGGGAGGTATGCTGTGCGGACATCAAGAAACCTACATATAAGAATGTCTCGATTGCTTCTTAATGTTTTGCTCTGGGCGTAGATTTAGCATTGAAACACGTAGATGAAGGGACTCAACACGGCAGGACAGGCTTGTTTGCAGTTGCGGTTAGTGCAGCACTAGACAATTGATTGGTTTTCACCTTTTTAAAGGTCGGGTTATCATTGTTCTGGTTGCCTGTCCAGTTTCCCTGGCACCGATTCATTTCGGTTTGAGTGGAGTACCGGGTCCGGGACATGACCCGATCTTCAGAAACTTTAAGAAACGTTATTGGAAGTGAACTGTTTTAGTTTCGGGCTCCAGTCATGATTAGAACAGCGCATGCAAGCTAATCATGACTTAAAAAAAATTAAAGGTCTGCCATAGAGTCACATACCTTATCTATTTTGCTCCTGTGCTCTTTAGATAATTGCCTTGAATTCAAGGCAGAGCTGCGCTTGGGCGTTTGTTTCCATTTGTGCGTTTCAGAATTAACATTTATGTTATTTTCAACACCGAAAAAGCAACCGCGTGCAACACGAGACACGAATTGTGGTCGAGTTATTCGTGACATATCCGTATGTGCCATCCCTGGTCCTGCTAAAAGTGTGAATTACACGTTAGAGCGAGGCAGGCCCGATGTTGAACTCATATGAGAAGCTGAAGCTTCAGCGTCGAGCTTTTTTGTAGTGTTGTATTAAAAACCCAAGGCCCAACAAAACTGTAACGTGTTGGTGCTGCTTGTAAGCTGTAACTTAAACGTCATACGAAAAAAGTCTGGGTAATTATTAATAATAATGATAATTATATTTATTATTCTGGTTGACGAAAGCCAGCCAGAATTTCTTGCCAGAGGCAGCGCATCTTAGTTTTTTTGCTGCCATTACACAAAAACTAAAACGAGATTTGATATTGCCCTCTGCCATGCATAAAACTAGGTGCCTTCATTAAATCCTCTTTATTATTTTCAGCCAATGTCGTCTTCCCCGTAATCCACTGCGGATCTCGAATCCCTCTGGACAATGTGCCGTTTCCAGTTGTCAAGGGAACCGTCAAAGTATGCATATCTGGAATGGAATACTAGCAGAAGACACAGGAGAAAAAGAGGACCAAATATGTTACATCGTGATGCACTTGCAAACGTTTCAATCTCATTCAGATATGCAGTAGCCTTCCAGTTCAAAGATTGTGTGCAGGCAGTGTAAGGTGCATACTTTGCGGCAGCTGTATTTAACGTATTTTCCCTTATGCATGTGCCCCTTTTGGGGCCCTTAGGCTATTTCTAGCCAATGAATACATTTAGGAAAAGCCCAAGAGCATTATGACTGTGAACGAGACACATAGCCGGGGGTTGCTGAACACCGAAATGTTCAGTTTTGCTGGGACCTCTTCTACCTCCTCTTCCACTTTTGACGTTTTGCCATGCCTTCCCCCCATCAGTAGTTGCGAGCGAAAGAAAATCATGACTACATCCCTGGTGCGAACTATAAAAACATGGGCTTGTTTTTTTTTGCACTTATCAAAGCTGACCTGTGTGTCTGTTAACATGCAAAAACACCAGAAATAAATATTCTTTATTTCATTTACAGCATGCAAGTACCGCTGATTGGCCGAAGGAGTGTACGGAAAAAGTGAACAAACCTCCAAGGCACAAAGAAGAGGGTTCATGAGGCTTCTCTCCTTTGCATGGAAAGGCTATGTATATATAGTATGCACCATACATTGGGTTGCATGTTTTGGATACATGACGGGCAAAAACTAGGCAGCTCTACGTTGACTATTTCTAGTTTCACGACACTAAATGTACATGTTAAAGACTTTAGTTCAAAAATACTAGCTGATAAATGCTAATTTGAGACGATCACCTTCCAGTAATATTTTCTTGTGCATTCGTGTTCCTTATGCAACCCCTTTTTATATCCCCATTCCCATATGGTGCCATTTAAAAAGTTTTCAGATTGAATAATTAAGCAGCTCGCCCAAGTCAGTAGTATCAATATGGACCAGATTTAGGGAAAACCCCCGAGGTAGAGTAAGATTCTGCAAAGGAAAGTTTGAGATCCACATTTAGGTGGATGTCAAACTTTCCTTTGCAGTATCAATATGTATACCTAAAGCGTTTCACTGAGGGGGTAGTTCCCATAGTTGCCCTAAAAAAAGGCCAGTTTGTTTGCCCAGCCTCTACATCAACCGGTCACAGCTGTTGCAGCAGTCTTGATGAAATTGCTCTCCTGTGTAGGTAAACATACTTCCCATTTTCACAGTAAACTTTTTGTGCACATTACGCATTCTCTCACATTTGGTTTATTTACAGTCAATAGATATTACAAGCACGCTATGAATACATCTTGAAATGACCACCCGAAAAAATGTACTAACATGCTTTCACATACAACAGGTACTATATTAAAATGTCAAAAGGAAAGTATAAAAGCAAGCACGTCCGTAGCAAGTACAGAAAGAATGCAACTTTACAAACAGTTTTATACACATAGATTGAAAACAGAAGCCTAAAAACATACTTTCACACACTCTCTGAATTGAGAGTATCACCAACACAAAAAAATACGGCTGCATTTATACACATACAGTCGTTGCCAATGTCACAATTGCATGACTTTAATGAAGTCTAGTATAAAACATGCCATATTAATCTTAAAAGCTCTAAACATTCTAAAAATTATTCACAAAGATGTCCGAACACTGTGTTTAGGCCAAAGTTATGAATGGTAAAATAAATTGAGTTTTTCAACAATTGCAATTTTTTTAAAAAGAATGAAAAAAAAAATCACCGAGTGGTCCATCTCTACCGTTTCCCCCGATCCTTTCCTAGCAGTCAAAGCTCCAGTCAATGGCAGAGTGACAGCACACTATAGGCGTCTTCTTTTCAGAAGAGGCTTCAGAGACGAGCATCCTTTTGTCGGTGAGCCCCGAATGTGAAGGCCAGAACTCTGTAGCACAGATTCAGCCAGCTTACGGAAGGTGGCTTGCAATAAGCCCCTAGCCTCCACCAGTGTTTGAACGTCATGGC